GGCCGGGCCGGGGTCGGGCTGAGTCAGGCTGAACCGGGACTGGGTCGGGATCGGGCTGGGACAGGCGGGGGCCTGGAACGAACGCGATGGGGACAGGACGGATCCAGGTCGGGGTCAGCCCAGGCTGGGACGGGTCGGGGTCGGTGTGGGTTTGAGTGGGCTGCAATTGGGGCTGGGGTCGGCCTGGGTTAGGACGGGCTGGGGTTGGGGTTCATGCAGGCTGGGCTGGGCCCAGGTATGGCTGGGTTGGGATGGAGTTAGAGTTGGGCAGGGGCTGGGACTGGCCTTGGGCTGGGTGATGGGCAAAGGATGGGGCTGGGGCCGGTCCAGGGCAGGAAACAAAAAAGGGGGGTCGGGGGGACTGGGCTGTGCTGGCGTGGGCAGAGGCTGGCTGGTGGCAGCTGTGTTTGGAGTGTGGCTGGGTGGGCAGGCAGGGGCAAGGGGCAGGGGCTGACTGAGGACAGGCAGGCGCCCTCAGGGCTGCCCTGGGGCTCCTGTGCCGCTGGCTGGTGTGGGGTCAGTGCTGCTGGGATGGGACAGGGCAGGCTGGGGCCCACAACTGGGTCAAGCCCTGGGGTCCATGGGGCGGGATGGGGCTGGGGCTGCGCTGGAAGGGGTTGGGGGGGCTGCAGGGAAGAGTGGGGCCCTTGCAGCTGGTCTTGGGGAAAGGTCTTGGGTCAGGGCTGATGAGGAACGAAGGGGACGGCACGGGGCAGCCTGGGTCTCCGCATCATGGTGCCATGGCCTGAGTGGTGAGGAAAGGGGCCACAGGGGGCTCAGCAGGACTGACACAGCCACTTGTGGAGAGTGGGCAATGGGGGAGTAAAGGGCCCCTCGTTTCAGGCAGGGCAGGGGCTGGGGGAGGCCTGGCAGCCTGGCCAGGACTGAGGCAGGAGCTGGTGCGATGACAGACAGGAGTGCGGCAGCCCTGGGCTGAGCAGGAGTAATGGCTGGTGGAGGAGAGGTGGCGGTGACAGTGTGATGCAAGTCCCACAGGGCTGAGATGGGGATGAGGTGTTGCTGCAGTGCCCCTTCCCTGGTCCCATCCCAGATGGGTGGGTGGAAAATCCAGCCTGGGGGCAGCGCCATCAGCCCTGGGGCTCTGGGGCTGGCAGGACCTGCAGGACGTCAGGTCAGGGTACGGCACTGGCTCCTTGCAGCTCGCAGGCAGAGCTGCTCCGTCCTCTGCAGCCGGTGAGCCAGGAGCAGGACCGGCGCTGCCCTGGAAGTTCCAGAGCCCATTTGGTGCCTGTGGGGCCCCTTTGAGGGTTCAGGCCATGAGGCCGGTCTTCTGCGTCCCTCGCCTCATGTAGCTGCCCTGCAGGACGTCAGGTCAGGGTACGGCACTGGCTCCTTGCAGCTCGCAGGCAGAGCTGCTCCGTCCTCTGCAGCCGGTGAGCCAGGAGCAGGACCGGCGCTGCCCTGGAAGTTCCAGAGCCCATTTGGTGCCTGTGGGGCCCCTTTGAGGGTTCAGGCCATGAGGCCGGTCTTCTGCGTCCCTCGCCTCATGTAGCTGCCTGGAGCATGCAACACAGGCAGAGCGGCTGGGCGGGGGGGTCCAGAGCCCATTTGGTGCCTGTGGGGCCCCTTTGAGGGTTCAGGCCATGAGGCCGGTCTTCTGCGTCCCTCGCCTCATGTAGCTGCCTGGAGCATGCAACACAGGCAGAGCGGCTGTCCTGGGGGTCCAGCTGCCAGGTGCAGGGAGCATGTCGGGGCCCGTCCTGCCTGCACAGAGTGGGCGGGAGTCCCACTGCAGCTGGGCAAGTGCCAGGTCCTGTGGGGGCCCTGAGGGGCATCAGGTTTAAGCCCTCAGGGGTGTTTGTCAGGGACATTGTGCTCGGTCTGTCCCTGCACCTTCACTGTGGGACTTGCCGAGGGCAGCCCCACTTCCCTGCTTGATGCAGCAGACCCCCAGGCAGGAAAGTACCTGCCAGGCACGTCCCCGTGCTGCTGGGAAGCTTGGGGCAACGCAGCCCTGGGTCTCAGTGAACCTGCTGCTGTCAAGGGGTTAAAAATGGAACGAGGATGCGTGGTCTTTGCCTGGCTTTGGGCTGGGGTGTCTGGTGATTAGAGTGGAGAGAAGGGGAGCTTGTGGATCTTTGGAGCCCCAGTTTCTTGAGCGTGATGCTGTGCCAAGTTCAGCCAAGCCTGGGTCGGAGGTGGGGATCGGGAGGGTCCGTGGAGCTATTGGGATCCCTGCAGGGTGGTGCTGGACCTCCTCCAGCTCTGCTCCCTGAACCCCTCCTGGGAGATGCAGGCACCCGGGTCTGGCTGGGCCTGCAGATAAGCCCGTGGATGCCAAATCTGCTTCCTGCAAGCTGCTGCAGGCACCCATGACGCTGGAATCAGTCGTGAACTTCCCCTTCAGCTGCGAGTTCAGCTCTGTCCCCAGCCTTTGGCAGTCCCTGCGGTCTTCCACAGGGCTGATGAGGAGGGGGACTCGAGGCTCCCATCCTCGCTCCCCCAGGGAGATGCCCCAGCTGAGGGGCTGCCAGGAGCAGAGGGGCTGTGGGAGGCGATGTCCAGGTCCCAGGGCTGCGTGTGGGAAAGAGGGGCAGAGAGCCCGTCTCCACAGCATGGCCCCATGTCCTTACACACCCCTCCCCACAGCAAGAACCACAATGGACGACATCTTCACGCAGTGCCGAGAGGGCAACGCAGTGGCCGTGCGCCTCTGGCTGGACAACACCGAGAACGACCTCAACCAGGGGTGAGCAGGAGGGACCTGGCCTGGGCTGGACCTGTTGGGGTGCTGTCCCCGGCTCAGCTGCAACACGGGCCGAGGGCGCTGGACTGGGGCCGAGGGCGCTGGACCAGGGCCGGGGTTTGTTTCCGCTCTGCTCTGTGTCCTGGGGAGGGGGTGGGATTCAGCTCCTCCCCGCCGGGAGGAAGTTACCGCATCGCTGAGGCATGAGGGCTGCACATCCTCCAGCCGCTTCCTCGGCCGCCACTGCTCCCGGCCATGGGACGGGATGCATCTCGGCCACGGGTTGGGCTGGGGGTGCTGAGGAGAATCTCCCCATCCCCAGGGTGGCTGGTGTGTCTGGGTGACCACTTCCCCTGTCCCCTCTCCTGGGAGCACTGCAGCTGATGTGTGGAAGCACATCTGGGGTCTAACAGGAGGGCTGGGAACTACCCCGGGGCCAGGAGCTGCATGGGGCTGACCTGCGCCCTGCCCCTGTGCGCCCTGCCCCAGATCTCTCCTCCTCCCAGCACATCTCCTGCTCCAGGAGCTCCCGCGGGATTGCGCAGTCCGACATGCTGCCCACCTGCCTTTCAGGAGCAGCGTTTAGGCCAGGTGCAAGGTTTAGAGCAGATGTCTCCATTGCCTGTGGGCAGGCACAGCCTTCTGCCCGCACACCAAAGATCCCTTGTCAGGCCATGGCGTCTTTGCTGAACTCATTCTGGGCAAGGGGCCTTCCTTTGGCCTTTGGCCGTGTCTTTCAGTCCCTCCCAGGGGTCCCAGTGACACAGAGCTGTCCCAATCCCACAGGTCGTGCCTGAGGGACTGGGGGCTGGCTGGCACTCACTGGGGCATTTTGGTCCCGGGTGCCTGTGCTGGGGTACCCTCTGCCTGCGAGGCTGGCTGTCCTGTCTGCCTGCCTGCCTGCCTGCCAGGGTGGTGCAGGAGGGGTGGGGGGCAGATGGGGTCTGCTGTGCCGGGGAGCTGGAGGGAAGCCGGGGATGCAGTGGCCCCTGCCTGCCAGGCCCCAATCTCCTTTTAAGGCCTGGCTGGTCTCCTCCTCCCTTACTTGGCCAGGCACCACCAGAGCCGAGGGGGGACAGGGGAGGGGATCTGGCTCTTGCCAGCATCTCAGTGATTCAGCCCTGGAGAAGATGGGATTTGGCCAGGGCCTCTGGGGCCCTCATGGGGATGGGAGAGAGCAGGAGAGCCGCTCAGCCTGTCCCCTTTGCCTCTGCGGCCCATGTGTGGGCGCACATGGCGATGCCTGCCTGGCTGTGGTGCTGTCGGCAGCATCCTGGCCATGCTCGGCCCTTTTCTCCCTGCCTGGGCCAGGGGAGGACACAGCTGGCAGGCTGCAGCTGCTCAGCAGAGCTGTCCCTGCTGTCTCCGCAGGGATGACCACGGCTTCAGCCCCTTGCACTGGGCCTGCCGTGAGGGCCGCTCCAACGTGGTCGACATGCTCATCATGCGGGGAGCACGCATCAACGTCATGAACCGTGGTGACGACACCCCGCTGCACCTGGCTGCCAGCCACGGCCACCGTGACATCGTGCAGAAGGTACCTGCCTCCTGTGGCCAGCACCCTGCCCTCTCCCCACCGTTTTCCAGGCACCAACCTCGTGCCTTGCACAGCCCCGTGGCAAACTGAGCTGGACTCTGTGCAGCCCTCCGCCCTGTCTACCCAGGACTCGCTCCCCAATCATCTACCGGCTTCCTTGCCGTGAGCTTACTGCATCCCCACCTTGGTGTCTCTGAGCACCTCCATCCTCCCCACAAAAGCCCTGCATCCAGCCTCAGCCCCCTCCGAACAGCAGACCTTGCCAGCACCAAGGCAGCAAATGCGCTGCTGTTGGTGCTCCTGCCCTATCCCAGGGCAAAGTGCTGGGGGGGAAGGGGACCTGCTCTAGATTTACAGGGACTGTCCTCCTGCCCCCAGCTGATCCAGTTCAAAGCAGACATCAATGCCGTGAATGAGCATGGGAACACGCCTCTGCACTATGCCTGCTTCTGGGGACATGACCAGGTGGCAGAGGTGAGTGGAAGCACTTGGACACAGCCCAGGATGAGGGAGGTGGCTGAGGGGGGCACGGGGAGGGAGAGGAGGGACAAGGCAGGAGGCTGTGTGTGTATAAAGAGGCTGAGAAGAGGACAGCAAACTGCAGATGCTTGCTTTCTCCTCCCTCAGGACCTGGTGGGCAATGGGGCCTTGGTCAGCATTGCTAACAAATATGGTGAGACGCCCATTGACAAAGCCAAGACACCTTTGCGAGAGGTCTTGAAAGGTAGGAGGTTCTCGTCCTGACCCCACAACCTGCCTCTGGCTCCTGCTGCAGCCCCTGTGCTCAGCATCAGCAAGCTCTCTGCTTGTGCTGCCAAACTCCTTGTCCCTCCAGAGCGTGCTGAGAAGCTGGGCCAGAGCCTCACCAAGATCCCCTACAAGGATACCTTCTGGAAGGGCACGACCCGTACGCGTCCCAGTAAGGACAGAGCCTTCCCTAATGGGGATACTGTGGCAGGGGAGAGCACAGCTCTCCAGCATGGCAGGGCAGGCTTCTGGGGAGGGGGCGGCAGTGTGCACTGCAAATGGCTCATTTTGGAGATGGAAATCCCCTCGCTGAAGGTGGCTCCTCACAGGAGTGAGGTGTCCCACTGGTACTGCCTCTCTCTGCAGTCCCAGGTGGACGTTAGGAGGAAGGTTTGTGCAGCCACAGGCTGCATCTCCTCCTTTTCTTACAGGAAACGGGACTCTCAACAAACTTGCTGGAATAGACTTCAAACAGCTGAGCTTGAGCCAAAAACTCAATGAGAACCAGTCAGGAGAGGTACGTAGGCCTGTTGCCCCCTGGGACAGGGTAGCTGCACCCATGCAGACCGCTGCACTCTTCCCAGCCCCTGGGTGGCTGCAGACTGCAGAACTGGAGCACAACTGCTTGCTGGGTTTCCACATCCAGGCGTGGGGCCAGCCCACGCAGAGAGAAGGCACCTGCCCGGGACTGAAAGGCCAGGGTTCACTCTCACGCTTTGTCGTAGTCACTCCATGTTGCTGTGGACCTGTCGGTCCTGTGGGCTCCGTGGGCCCCACAGCCCTGTGCAAGGGGCTGGGAGGTGCTTGGGGACCGTGTGTCCTCTCACAGCAACTGTCTCCACCTGTCTCCCTGCAGTTGTGGAAAGGGCGCTGGCAAGGCAATGACATTGTCATCAAAATGCTGAAAATCCGGGACTGGACAACTCGGAAGAGTCGAGACTTCAATGAGGAATACCCAAAGCTGCGGTGAGTGCCAACATCCTTCCCCAAGGCAGCCGTGGCTCTCGAGGGCAGGCGTTACCTCCAGAGGAGTACGAGATAGGCAGGAGCCAACCAGGTCTGCAGGGTCGGGTGGTAGTGCTCCAGAGTGGTGCCCAGAGGACACGAGGAGGCCCTGGGAGGATGGCACGCTGGCAGCAATGCGAAGGGCAGGGAGGTGATGAGGGGGTGTGGGCAGCACCCACTGTTCTCAGGCCTGTCACTTCTCTTGCAGGATCTTTTCTCACCCCAACGTGCTACCAGTGCTGGGCGCCTGCCAGTCCCCCCCAGCACCCCATCCCATTGTCATCAGCCACTGGATGCCCTATGGTTCCCTCTACAACGTGTTACATGAGGGGACAAGTGAGTGCTGATAGGGGTGACAGAGCCGGGGGTTGAGGCTAGTCTCCCCATCCTCCCTCAAGAAGTTGCTTCTCCATGTGTTTGGGGGGTGGCAGGGGGCCTCTCCAGATGCAACACCAGGGTGGACCCAGGGTGAGCTCAGTCTCCAGTCTGCACGCCTTCCCCACACCCTGTGTGCAGTGTGTCTGCCAACATCACCTCTGTCCCACGCACACTGCAAGTGACACGGCACACACACACACACACACACACACACACCCCCTTTACCCTCATGCCACCTCCCTCCCTGCAGACTTTGTGGTGGACCAGATGCAGGCAGTGAAATTCGCCTTTGACATTGCACGGGGCATGGCCTTCCTGCACACGTTGGAGCCCC